TTAAATATACATTTGTGTGTGTGTATATACACACACACACACACATATATATATATATACACACATACATATATATATATATACACACACACATACACACACACCACTTGTCACTTCCAGTGGCATGTGTGCATGTGTGGAGGGATGAAGACTGTGGTGATAGTTGAGCTCACTGCTTTCAGGGGTTCACAATGACAGTAACCTGGACTGATTCTGGTAAAGTTGTCCTTTTGCTGTTGGACCTTACTGTTGCATTTCCTACTGCTAATTACAATATATTATTAGAGAGACTTGATCACTGGCTTGGTCTCTTTGACATGGTCTTGAATTTTGTATTGATTGGCAGCTGTAGACCAGTGCGTTTTCCAACATGTGGTGCAACACAAGGGTGAACTCTGACCTCTATTTAATCCTTATGTGCTCCTGATTGCTGAAATTATATAAAAGTTTGAGGTTTCATATCATATCCTGTGTATATACACTCACTAGCCACATTATTAGGGACACTTGTACAATTGTATGCATTTCAGTGTAACACTTCTGCCTTAACATCTGTTTATGAAGCTTAAAATGTTTCCGTTTTTGGTGAAATTGTCATAAATGTGTAAAGTATACATTTATTGAGGTGGTGGTGTACTGGACTACATTATATTTAGAGGTGTTCCTAATATTCTGACTATCATGTATGTAGCTGGGGAGGACAAAAACATAGTGACACCTCTGTCTCTATAGAATCCCAGTGTACGACACAGATTTGAACTGAAGTGATTGTTGCTCACTGTTGATAGTCTGTCCCAGAAGAGTAAAAATCAGCCTGTTGTATTCAGACCCAAGTGTCATTTGTCATATTAAGTCAACTGAGTCAGCATTCTGGCATCCTAAGAATATCACCAGGATCAGATTCTAAGTGTAGAGAGATTAGACCGTCGCCCTAACTTTGTTTTGTTTTCCTCCTGTTTTTTGCTAATCTCATGCTTTGAGGGAGCCTGAAGTGTTGGGGAGGGGCTGGGGATGGTTCAGTAGCGTACTGGGGGGTAATCGTCTTTCTTTCCCCCTCAGGGAGGACCACATGACCTGGCATAACAGGAAGGCAAAACAAGAGAAAGAAAAAACAGAGTGAGTTGTTGGGCCCCGTTGCTCTGAGCTCTTCAATGAAAACCACATGTAGGACAGAGGGAGGGGGAGTGTAATGACTGAAAACCCTGCCTCCCAGAGAGTGAGAGGAGGGAGCCACTCTGAGCGCCGCTGACATTCCCAACAAGCATTGCAGAGGAGAAACTGTGTGTGTGAAACCTCCAGAAGAACCTTTAACAGGATAACTCGCACTCTGAGCGTTGGCTGCAGGACAGAAGGCTGCTTTCACTGTCGGGCCGGAAAAGAAGAAGAGCAGGAGGAGAAAGTGGTTCCCAGGTCAGTTTGGTTCTTCCAGAGGGAGACAAGAAGAAAAGTTAAAAGTAGAAGAAGAAAAGACACCGACATGTCCAACGCTCTGCTGAGGAGAAACTCCAGCAAACAGGGTTTACAAAATCTGATGAGGTATGTGGTCGAGGCTTCTCTGTGTCTGCTGCTGGTCTCGGTTTGTTTCTGCTCTATGGACACAGCTCAGGTTAATATTTAAAGAGTTTCCGTTCAGTTTGACATTAGGCAGAGATGGTTTCATCTCTTCTGGCTCAGGGGACAAATCAGTGACCATGAGATGTGAAGTTTTCCCTCAAAGTGAAAGTGACTTAGGAAAAACTCCACATTTCACGTTTGCAGATGAGGATTAAAAAGGATTGTTTTCACATTTTAAGCATGTGTGTGTGCGTCTGTGGCCGACAGGTTGGGCTGAATGGGAACATTGGGTCACCTAGGGTTTTCGGGGATTTGAGTCACAATCTGTCATAACAAAGAAATGTATTAAACCCCAGTTTTCTCAGTAATCTGTTGTTTAAACCCTGCAGTCACCAGCGTGTTTGATTAGTTTGAGAATCAGTTCAATCAAGGCAGGAAATGAGAGATTTAAATTTTTAGTGAGATCGACTAGTCGTGTCTTGTCTCTGAGCTCCGGGTTGGACGCCCCAGGCTTCTCCATTTCACTGAGAGGGGAAGCGGGGCCAGTGAATTGTGTCAGAGGTTAAAGGTCACCTGAGTCAGTCCTTTGTTTTCTGGGTGCTTGCGGGTGGCGGCACGTCCTGCCTCTTAGTGAGGATATTTTTTTCCCCATCCTGTGTCGGGTTCCAGTGCAGCGACTCAGTGGTTTGTAAGATAAGATCTCGTTGTGCTGCTGTTCTCATTCTGGAGCCTTTGGCTGTGGAGACACTGACTGTGTCAGATCAGACCCTCAGAGTCATGAACTCTTGATGTAACAGCTGAGAGTCATGGAACATACATGCCGGCACTGTAATCATTCCCCCGTCTCTTCTCCACGTTCACTGTTGAAGGATCTCTTGTGTTGGTGGAAACTACTTAAGTACTGTACTTAAGTACAGTTTTGAGGTATCTGTACTTGAGTATTTTCATTATGCCTCCTTATATTTTGACTCCGCTACATCTCAGAGGCAAATGCAGTACTTTTTATTCGACTACATGTATTTGACAGCTGTAGTTACTTCACAGATTAATATCTGGCATACAGCACACGATGATAATCTTATAAATTACAGTACATTAATTTGGATTGAATCAGTGGTTTCTAGTGGTTTTGGTTTGCTCCAGTTTCTGGTTTTGGGCCTGTGGGTTGTTAGCACTTCTAATCATAATAATAATCAGGATAATCACCTTTATTTGGCCAAGTATGTTACACACAAGGAATTAGTTTCCAGTACATAAATGAATAAGTGAACATTTTAATTAATCCAAGATGGACTCAATGTTTCCACTACAGTCAGAAGAACTGGCGCATTACTAATAATAAACTAACTGGTGGTGAGAAAGACCTGCACCCACCGAGAAGACAGAACATCCCGACAGCCACGGAGGCAGGCGACTGTTCGCTCCCAGTGTGATCCTCCTCTGTGATCATAAGTTAATTATCCCATCCATCATTTTATTCTTATTAGATCACATTAATTATTAAGTGAAGTACTGAAGAAATGTGACATAATGATAAAGAAGTAATTCCAGGCCATATGGTCCCAACTTTTTCTCCATTGTTTGTTTGACAAGTGTTTGTCTCTTTATGAACAAGCTTGTTTATCTTTAATTATGTCATGAGATTTTGGGTCTGTGTAACTTCGTGCTTGAAATGACAGTGACTGTAATTATAAAGATGTTTGACAACACTGACAAGTACAAAACTGCTTTGCATCAGATGATTATTCGTATTTTTAGTCCAGCTGCACTAGTTTTAAGATCTTTGTGGTTAGATGTTTTTAAATTTTATCAAGTTTCTTGTTCTGTTGGCAGTTTTCCTGTTTTAAGTTTTGTTTCCCTGTTTTATTACTTTATAAATCTGAGTTTTTTGCGTGTCTGCTGACTTTCCATTTAGTTTCTCTGTAAAGCTGTTTGGATCGGTTATTCACTGTGTCACAGCAGCAAGTTGCTGCCCTGCGCGCCTGGTCGAGGCGCCTTGGTGAGCCTCCCTGAGCTCAGTGTAAACCTCTGAGTCACGGTGAGAACAGCGGTCGGGCTGTATGTTTACAAAGTAGATACCAGCTGGAGGAGGCGCCTTGCTCTGATTCAGTCCACTCAGCAGATGGCATCAGTCTGGAGGAGCTGACGTCATGAGAAAGTGCGCGACTCGTACCATGCTTCACATTCATCATCCACTCTGTCAGACGCCATGATTCAGTCTGCACTTTTCAGTGTGTAGTTGTTAAAGACTTGGTTTCATCCATCCTGATTTGCAGGCAGAGCTCTTCTGACCTTGGTAACTTTGACACTCGTACGCACGCTCCTGCTGCCGTGCACATTTTAAAACAAATCAGCTGCCAGATCACATGTGAGCATCTGGTGTTTTGTTTTGTCATACCTGATGGTGAGCTGAATATGTTTGTGCTTGGACCAAACAAGCCAGTTTAAGATGTGACCTGATTTGTGACATTTTCAGGACCAAACAATGAATCAGTTGATTAACTGATGATAAAAGTGATTGTTAGTTGCAGCTCTGAAGTTCACACTGAGACTGGAAGTGCAGCCTTGATTTTGAAAACTGCAGTTGGTGTCCATTTAGTTGGCCTATAAGTTGGGACTGAACAAACTCCACCCCTGACTGTGTATCAGAGTGATACTGCTCTTGTCACTGAGGAGGCATTTCCATACGTCATCCTTACAATGTCACCCTGTAGCTTCAGACACAAACTGAACATCATCAGAAGGAACCGGAGCCGAAACGATGTTATCTGACTGTGCAGCGTTGGAGGCGGGTGAGGAGCAGGTCGATCTGTTTTTAATCAGCTTTCTGTGGGAGACAAACATCCCTGGTCAACCCGCTGAGGTGATGTCATTCATACCTGCTTCAAAACAAACCCTCTGCTGTGACCTCTGACCCCTGAATCCCCCACACATGGGTGGGTGCCCTCAGTGTTTATGATACAGGGAGATAAGAGACTGAAGAATGTTTGGGGGGAGGTGGCGTTAGCCGGTGAGTGATGAGGGCACTGAACTCTGCATCGAAGGAAAAGTAAACAGAGTGGGGTTTCCTGCTCGGAGGGGGTCTTATCTGTGAGAGAGCGCATAACGGGTTTCTGTCACTTTGACCTCGCTCAGTGAACATCAGTGATATAAAAATGGACCAGTTGTCGTCCTAAACATACAGAGAGCCGAAACTCCTCCATCACTATAAAGGAGGGGTGGGAAGAGGAGAGCATTTACCTGCCTGTGCCCAGAGGCCGTCTTCTAATTCATCCCTGCCTGCAATAGTAAGGCCTACTGTTCACAGCTTGTCTCCTACAGTGAAGGCAAATTAAATGCCATCTTGAAATATAGCGTGAAAATGAAAGGGGGGGGGGACAAAGGTTAGCAACCGGAGATGTTGCTGCAGCAGCTACAGTTAAATTAGAACACGGCAATTGGAAGTGTAAAATATTTACTGAGAGTTTGGTGATTAAACTGTTAACGTGAAGCATCTTCACAAGTCCTCATAAAGACAGGAGTTAGGACAGGATCCCGTGGTGTCCCAGGACAGGCAGTGGGGGGTGAAGCGAGCAGGTGGCTGATGGAAACTTTCAGAGTTTACTCTGACTCACATTTCTTCAGTTTTGTTTGTTTTTCTTTCCCTTTCCATTCTCATGGATGGACTGAATGTGCCCAGCAGGCACCAGCCTGGAGGCCGAGAGGTCCAAGACCCTCGGGTCTGTGCCTTTGATTGAAGTGTGTGTTGATATTTATTGTTTGAAAGTCATAAAGCTCAGTTAAGAGAGACAAAATAACCATGGAGAGGCACAAAAAGGTTCCAATGGCAAAGCAGAAGTGACAGAAAAAATGACAATCATAGAAAGGGACACAGAAACAGAATGACCACAAAAAGGATACAACATTTCCGAACAGTGAAATCAGGGTATTTTTCTTGCTGCTGTGTTTGTCAGATCATTCTGTTGTTGAACGATGACTGCACATTTCGGGTTCTAGTCCTGGCTACTGGTGTCTGACTACATGCTGGTCACTGCAGTGTCCAGTGCATATGCGCCAAGTGTTCAATATGTTACTGCAAAGCAGGAATATATACAGCTCACTCCTCACAGTCAGTAAATTAGTCAGAACCCAGTGTTGCCAAAGCTGCTGGTGGATCATGGGATGAGCATTGTCCTGACTTTTAAAATGTATTCTTTTTTCTAATTGGTGGCCAAGATGCTGCACAAAAGTGTGGATTGGTTTCTTTTTGTGTGCAGACTCTGCACCGAGATGGGAATGATGCCAAATCTCTGTGTTTAGTTAGAGGTCTACAGTATGGTGTGTGTGCAGGTTGGTAAGCATAGACCAGGTGGGATACATGGAATAAAATGATAACAAGAATGCTAAGAACCAGGTGGTCGGCCTTACATTATAGAGCGGCAGCACAGTGTCCAGACTGATAGCAAAGAAACCTACCGGTGCAGAATGTCTCTGGGAACATCTGCAGCAGCACTGCCTGTCCCAGCAGTGTTGTAGAGAGAATCACGCAGGTGTGTCCATCTGTTGGATCACGTGGATAACACCTGGAAACATGGAGGCAATCTAAAGCTTTTGGCCTGTTGTGTATTAAAACAAGATGAGCAGCAGGTTGACTCAACTCGTCCTGCTCTGTGCAGGCCGAATTCCCCGGCTGCATCCTCACAATTCATTTGTTCATGGGAAGTAGCATCTTTCCGTGGTTGTGTCAGAGTGATTCAGTGCCCTCCGCTGCCATGACTTGTTTCAACACAACACTGACTTCATCCCACAGATTTCTTCCCACTGTCCTCGTCTGTCCCGCAGAGCCTGGCGGGCTTTCAGTCTGAAAGGCAGCCGTGTTATTATCGAGTCATCCAGCCGATGACAGCGTGTGCTGACAAAAGAGAAGCTGAGGGTTTAATATCTCTAACATGTTTCCTGCTTTCAGTGAATCCCTCTTTGACTCGCTTTCCGGGGACATGTTGCCGGACAATAAAGCTGAAGCTGGGACAAGTGCAGGCACATCGAGCGCAACAATATGTGCTGTAGTGGCTCTGTTGGAGGGTGGGAGAGCTTTTCTCTGCTTTGTGGGGATGTGTGTCGGGTTTCTGGTTGTTGCTGTTCTACTTCTGGTGATTACAGAACAGAAGACTGTCTTCTTTCATAAAGTCAAATCTGTTGGCAATCATCAATCCAGAACACCAGGGAACTGTTACACGCTGTTAGACATGGTCAGACATCTTAAGGTATCACTTGTCATTTTCTTTGAGATCATCCACAGAGGTCAGAAGATGCACGTGTTGTTCCTGTACAGAAATACAGGACCAGTCACTGACATACTTTAGGGCTTCAGCTTCTAGTTATTTCATCATTTAATTTAAAAAAAAAAAAAACTCCTTACAAGTTCAACCAAACCCAAGGTGACATCTGACAAACCCACAGATCATGATTTTACAGGAAATGAAAGCAAGAAATCCTTTCTCAGAAGCTGGAACCAACAAATGTCGATGAAATGATTACCCAAATTGTTGATCAGCCAATCCACTAATCAATGCAGCTCCACTGTGTTTAGCCTAGCCTAGCACAAAGATTGAGGGGACTCTGCTAGCCTCGCTCCAACTCAAAGTCCTGATGTTGTCTTGCCAGTTGATCAGAGAGTCTGAGGGCTGCATGGAGACAGTCTTTTGTTACCGTGTAGCAGTCGTCCAGTGTGTCTTTATTCCTGGTGGGACAGCTGACGGTCTGTATTTGGACTGTTCCTGTGTGAGATTTGCTCTGTTAACAGAACAATGAGTGGGGAGTCGGGATGTTTCTGTTCCACACTAGTTATCTGGTTGGCCAAGTGCTGCAACGCATTGTTAGTGGAGGCATGGGGCGAGTTAAACACCGACCAAAATGGACAAAGACATTTCTCTCTGAGTAAAATGGTCTGGAGTTAAGGAATCTTGCCATATAACATAAACATAAAACAGTGTGAATTTTCATTGGTCACGGTCATTACTAAAACAGTTAACTGTTTAAAAATCTACATAGGTCTCTGTCTTTACTTATGATTTAATCACTTTCCTCAGCTTTACCTGCCCTCATGCTCACCTGTCAGCTCAGGTGAGTTGAACCTCCTGTGAATCACTCTGAGCTCCTGACTCATGGGCTCTGTGGGAGGGGGCGGCGTGCTCGGTCTTGCCTTTGGTGTCAGTTTACAGAGAAACAACAAACTCAGGGTGACAGAGAAGCTGCTTGACTCCTGATGTTCTCTACATGTTGCTTTAATTGTCTGGAGAGGAAATATTACTTAGATACAGTTCAGACCGGTGGGGGTTTGGATGAGAAGGAAGGTTTTTGCCTTGATGCAGCGATTAGATGACATGAGCCAAAGAAAAAGAATCGCCTTTGATGCAACACGGAGCAAGGGAGAGGAAGTGAAACTACCCATTATCCTAGCACTGTAAAACCTCTCAGAGAAGGATTTATCATTTAGTTTGACTGTAGTATTTGAGCCGGTGCCAAGCACGGCAGAATCCCACAGCCCTGATTATAGAAAGCAGATGTAAAGGGAAGACAAAAGGGGGGAGGGTCTGAGCATATTTCACCACCGACTGCTGACCACACAGATTAAACTGACAGAGCAGCAGCCAGAGCCAGTTTGACATTTCAGCCCCTGTGTCGGGGCTCACACTGGACCTGGGCGTAGTCTGTGGTGGCGGTCACTGCTGAGTTGGGTTTGAAGCTGCCATTAGCAGAAGATATTAACAGTGTCTGGTTTGTTTTTTATGCCACTTTTACATAGTCAGCAAAAGAATGCAGAAATCCCACTTCATCACCTCCCTAGAGAGGTTGTCGGTACCCTTCTCACTGCATGTTCGGTTTTTATAAGTACCAGACCAATTAAAGTTAATGATTAACTTTATATGAAGAAGCTAGTAAACAACACAAACTAGCTCTTTTTACAAAGACAACATGATCTAACTTTTTTCAGCACCAGATCAGTGGTCTAAATCAATAAGAGCCAGGAAAAGCTTTTATTTTGAAAGTCAGTTGTTTCTGTATTGGCCACGCTACCTGACCCTGGATGAACCAATCCAGCTCCTCTGAAACAAATACCGATTGCCTTCACCCAGCATCCATCATGATGTAGGGGTCATGTCAGCTGACCCGCATCCAGCTGTGCACCAGCCTCTGCACCTCTGCCCCTTCATTCATTTCCTCTCTGCTAGTACCCGCCTGCTCACAGGAAGGACACAGAAAAATAAATGAGGAGGAGGAAGTGATGATGATGAGTGTAGAGTTTATCAGTAGCTCCTTTCAGACTTGTGTATCACTGCACACATCTCAGATATTTTGAACGACGTAAGCAGTCTGCTGTTGTTCAACAGAGCCAGTCAGCGCCACACAAACCCCTCTAGGCTTCGGTATGGGGACATACCGGGAAAAGAGGCCAAACCTTTTTTTGGCCACTGGGTTGCTATATAATTGATTTTTAAGTTGACAAGTTGAACTTGTTATCAAACACCCAGCAGTCACAGTGCAGCATGCTTCTTCATGTACGGTGGAGTCCATGTCCACTCCAGCTTCCTCCCACAGTCCAATGGCATGCAGCTTAGGTTGACTGGTGACTCTAAATCGCCCGCAGGAGTGTGTGGGTTGTGTGTCTGTCTACATGTCAGCTCTGTGATAGACTAGCTCTGTTTGCTTTATGAATTGTGGATTCAGAGTTAGGCCCACATTCGTGTTGGAAACTGCCCAAATAATACAAAAATGTATCACCCTACAGTCAAACTTGGTGGGGGTTCACTGATGCTTTCCTGCTTCAGCCACTGGATGTCTTGACTGTGTGTGTGGCATTATGAAATCTGAAGACTACCAACAAATTCTGGGGCACAATGCAGGGCCCAGTGTCAGAAGGTTGGGTCTCCATCAGAGGTCATGGGTCTTACAGCAGGACAGTGACCCAAAGCAGACTTCAAAAAGCACCAGAAATGGTTTCAGACGGTGAACTGCAAAGTTCTGAAGTGGCCAGCAATGAGTCCAGATCTAAATCCCATAGAGCAGCTGTGGAGAGATCTCAGAGCAGCAGCTGGAAGAAGGAACCCTTCAAGTCTGAGAGACCTGGAGCAGTTGGCAGAAGAAGAGTGGTCCAGAACTCCAGTAGAGAGGTTGAAGAAACTCACTGATGGTTACAGGAAGTGACTGATTTCAGTTACTTTATCCAAAGGCTGTGCTACCAGATAATAAGCTGAGGCTGTCAGTAATTCTGTCCAGTCCATGTTTAGAGTTCTATGTGGACTGGATCAGATTCGACTTTTTTTTTTCTCAGCTTTTTTGTGTTGTTCCAATGCAAATGCAAGAAATAAACATGAGAATACCAAAGGATTCTCAATTGAAACAAGTTTCTGGGAGAAGTGGTGCGTTATCTGACAGAAATGTAGGGCTGCCAATATTTTTGGCCCTGACTGTATATGCCAAGGATATGGCCTGCACGATCCGGTTTGCCTTTATGAGGAATGGCCCATGAAACAAACAGCCGATCCTCCCACTGTAAACAAGAGGCACAAATGGACAACACCTATTGATATCTGGATAAAGTTAAAGCAGCACAGTTTTAATAGAAAGAAACTTTAAGCCCACCCCTTCAATAGGGTGATGAGAGAGGGCATCTAGCATGACAGTCAGGTACCGAGTGAAGTTAGAAAAAGAACTGAGGTGATGGATTAAAGGTCCCAGTGTAGGTGTAAATCAGGGTGCCGAGCACACATTCGCCTCTTCGTCAGTGGTGAAGATTAACAGTGTTTGTGATAAATGCAGTGATGTCATGCTGACATGAGGTGAAGAGCACACTTGTTTATCCTGCTGATAAACACTGGTAGATGTTCTTCTGGCCGGCTCTTATCCTGCTTACAGAATCGTTGCTGAGACAGTGAGGAGGCCTGAGAGACGATGAGTCCAGATCCTGTTTCGTTTGTGATACAGTTATCATTTCAGAGTTTGTTTGTTTCCTAACCACCAGTGTTAAAAGATGTCGTCTGTGTGGAGCAATACCACAGTGGAAATTCATCATGTTGTGTAAAAATTAGTGATTCATTTGCTAAGTGTTTAGAAATTTGGGGAATTTTCTTTTTTTATTGTCTCTACAGTTTGGGGCATTGTCACCCAGTCCACACTGGTAATTGAATAACCTTTAACTCACTTTATGCAAAAAGTATTCTTTATTTTCAGCTGGAGGTGAGTCCTGCTGCTTTTCTTTCTTTTTTATCCTTGTAAATTCAATATTTTAGGGTTTTGGACTTTTGAACATATGACCTCATAGTAAATGATTAAGTGAGAAGTTTAACAAGTTAATTGATAATGGAAATCATTAGTTATGGGCTTATTTATCAAAAACAACTTGAGCAAACAAATCTGTGGTCAGTGTATCTATTTGCACGTATGTGATGATCCACAGCAGTAACCTCTCTCACTCAGTTTTACTCATTTGCCCTGAGGCAGGTACTGTTTGGTCTCCAGTCTGGTGCTGGTGGGATTTTCTGTCACTCTGGAGGCAACACACAGCTGCTAGAGTATGAATGTTGGGGTATATGCATGTGTATATGTGTTTACCAAATATGTTTGTGCGCAGAATGTCCACAAAACAGGATAACTGCACAGTGTAGTGAAGTAAAATGTCTGTGCCCTGTGTCCTCCCCCTCTCCAGGCTGACAGCTCAGAGGAGCATCGAGGATGCTGAGGAGGTGGAGAGGGAGCGTCGCCAAAGAGCTCGAGAGGCTTTACGTCAAAGCGACAGCGGCTCGATGCCCAGAGAGTCCTCACCGGACAGCGAGACACCGGCAGAGGAGAACATGTAAGTCAAGACACGGAACAGCTCCAGCACTTGATCAAACTGTTTCACAGAAATGACACATAGAGCGGAGTGGAAACCCAACCAGCAGGGCCACTGATCAATCAGCTGATCATCGTCCTGATGAGCTGATTGATCTGTTTGTCCCCAGAATGTCAGACACTGGTAAGAAGTCCCACTGTGACTCTCCAGAGCCAAAGGTAGCGTCTCCACATGCCTTGTTGTGTCCAACCAACAGATCCACAGAGACTCAGCTGATTCTCATGTCTGACAAAGAAAAGCATCAGCTCCTCACATTAAAGAAGGTGGAACCAGAACATGTCGGTGACTGTTGCTTCTAAATAGCTGCTGGTTCATTTTCTACCAGTGAACTGACTCATGGCTGCAGCTCTAGGTCACTGAATGGCTTCATGAGGACGACACTGTGGGTCGGACATGGTGGGTTGGACACAGTGGGTTGGACACAGTGAGGGGATCTGGTCTGGAAGGAGGAGGTTTCCTTCTCCGACAGAGGAGACCTGACGCTGCTCTGGAGACTCGGCCCTGCTGGACGCTGGGTCACAGTCTGTCCTTTCAGTTGTCACCAGCTGCTGTACATGACTTCACTATTGGAAACATTCTTGCTCGAACCCTCTTACCACAAAAAATACCAATATAACATCAAAACGTGGTTGAATTCCTTGTCTGTGTAATCGTGGGAACCCAGGAAGTTATCAAGTGCAGAACATTATTCACCCACTTGCCTCATGTCCAGTAACTTCCTGTGCAAGCTGCAAACCGTGTGACTGCTTTTTTTTTTTGTTTATTTATTTATTCTCCTGGTAGTAACTGTGGTTCACCTCCTCACTTGGATGTCTGTTACATAAAACAAATGTTTCCACTGGGAAAAGCTTCAGACAACCTCTTCCCTCCCGTCGTGTTGAGGTGCAGATGAACACACAGCTCCCCTCTCATTACCCAACCTCTAAAGAATGTTTGCTACAAAGCGTCTCAAGGGAAATCTGCCTCTGTGTTGATGCATGTGGTGTTTCAGCCAGCTCTTAATTTGAGGCTTTAAATTATAACTTCTACCTCCAGCACCTTCTCCTCCATCACAGCCAGGCTCAGCTGGTTTCAGGCTGTGGTAGCTCTGCTGTGACCTGTACATGACGCAGCAATGATGTAATGCTGGTTTGAAATCCCCTTTTGGCAAATTCACTGTATGATTTCATGCCTATGAGGTCAGAGGTCAGCTTTGAACTTGGCAAAAAAAAAACAAACAAATTTAAGTATTACACTGAAAAAACCTTAATTCTCACAAATGCAAATTTAGAGCACCTTGCAAGAGTCAAAAGAAAAGAGAAAACCTTTACCGTGGTAAAATTGTATTAAATGACATATTTCAAATCTGAAAATATAGACATGACTGTGAGAAGAGGAGTAAAGTGAGACAAAAAGAGGTGGAGGCATCAGAGGTGTCGGAGTCCATGCAGACATTGACTTCACAGCTCAAACAGCCAACACAGAAACCTGACCACTCGTTAAGGCTGATTAGTTGCTCCCATCATGCAGCAGGGTCGCCACCTTCCCACTGAGCACCTTAATAATCTGGGGAATGCTGGTGGAATTCCTTTCTGCCAGCTCCTGGAAACACAAAACACACTTTCACCACTTTAAAACAGCAGGGGAAACAGGTTCTAGAGCCAAACATGAATCCTTATATTTGAATGTTCTTAGTCCAGCTGATGAAATGAGCTGTTGTTTGGATTTTTATTGATGATGGTTTGAAACCCTCACTTGTCTTTCCTTCTTGTTTCATCCTTCCCCAGGTATGAGAGCGAGCTGAAGCCGTGCAGCTCTCTGTTTCTGGAGGAAGATGAGGGCTTCAGTGACTGGACTCAACGTAGAGATGGACCGAGGCAGCAGTGCCTGCAAGTGCTCGGCCAGGGAGCTAAGGAGGGCAAGGACGTAGAGGAGGACACAATAAACAAACCCATACCTGTAAAGACTGCCCAGGCCTCCATCTGGTCTACAGACAGGCTCCAGAGACATGAGGAGGACACAGACGGGGCTGAGATGGAGAGGAGTAAGGAACGTGAAGAGGAGGCGATCCGAGCTGAAAGGTCAAGGAGGAAGGAGGAGGAGGTGATGACCAGAAGGAGAGAGGAGATTCAGAGGCCAAAAGCAGAGGTAAAGCTTTGGATAGAACTAGAACAAAAAAGCAAAAACAATTCAGTGGCAGACCTTCCCTTCTTAACGTACTCAATTAAGAAACTGAACTACTGCAAAAATATCTGTGACTCTGACAGCCTGGTGCACACCAACCACCAAATCATCATTAACACTACTTTGGCATAACCCTTATTTTCAACTGCATAACAACCCGGTCCACTTTCCAACATGGCAACATGAGTCCAAGTCCTCACTAACTGAAACACTCTGACCATGATTTACATGCAGAGAAACCCACATTGTGTTTTCAGATTGTTTTATGTATCTGTTACATTAAACTTCTCATATGCAGGCAGAGAAAAGAAAAGAAGTTAAAGTCTCCTACACATCCAGGATTTTCCTTAAGCACGAGCCAAAACACAGCAGCTCCAACGAAGACACAACCAGCAAGGAAGTAACGACACACATCAAGACGAAAGGATCCACCAGGTTTGATTTGTTTTATTGGTGGTTTGTATCGAACATTTACTGTGCTTTTGTTAAAATGACCGACGGTAACTTGTGTCAGCCAGTACAGGAGGAGATAAGCATTTATCCAAGAATATGGAGAGAAAGTGTGAGTATCCTGTTTCCTCTTTCAAAAAGACCAAAAGTACTTGAAAGACCTTGGACAAAAATACATGGACATCGTTTCGACTGGGCATAAGGGGGCACCTCAGGGGGCGCTTCTGTGAAAATCTTAAAGTTTGCAGACAACGGTCATCTAGGCCTCATCCGGGACGGTGACGAGTCGGCCTACAGACGGGAGGTTGAACAGGTGGTCCTGTGGTCGCAACAACCTGGAGCTGAACACGCTCAAAACAGTGGAGATGGCAGGGCCCTCCCACCCTGCTCAGCAGCACTGTATCAGCAGTAAAGTCCTACAGGTTCCTGGGCTCCATTATCTCCCAGGACCTGAAGTGGACATCCAACATCAGGACCATCACCAAGAAGGCACAGCAGAGAATGTACTTCCTGCTCCAGCTCAGGAAGTTCGACCTGCCCCAGGAGCTGCTGATACAGTTCTACAAAGGAATCATGGAGTCTGTTCTCTGCACCTCCATCACTGTCTGGTTTGGCTCAGCAACCAAACAGGACAAGTACAGACTTCAGTGGACAGTCAGGACTGCAGAAAAGGTCATTGGTGTGAGCCTGCCCTCCATGGAGGACCTGTACACCTCACGGGTCAAAAGGAGGGCGGAGAGGATCACTGCAGACCCCTCACACCCCGGATACAATCTGTTTGAACTCCTCCCCTCTGGACGGCATTACAGGTCACTGTGCACCAAGACAACCAGGCACAGGGACAGTTTCTTCCCCCAGGCTGTCGCTCTGATGAACACTTAACCTATGTTTCTATGTATAACAAGATGTAGCAAACATTACAGTAATCATTTTACTTATGAAATAGCTCATTTTTAATCTTGTGTATATCTACATATTATCTAGTTTTTTATTTGTTGTTCTGTTTACATGCGTGCATCAGGAGCCATTGCTGAAATCAGATTCCTTGTTTTAATGACACTTGGTAATAAAGTTTGATTGATTGATTAAATGAACATTTTTTACATGTAGTTCCTCCCCCGGTGTGTGCAGCAAAGCTGTGGAGCCAGAGGAGGTAGAGGCCATCTGGGAGACGGAGCAGCGTCTGGAGAAGATCCGCCGGAGCCTCCAGGTGAAGGAGAACCAGGAGCTGGAGCAGCTGAGACAACGACAAGCCGAGGCCGAGCAGGAGTTCGAGGAGCTGAAAAGGAGGCGGGAGGAGAGACGCCGACTGCGGGAGGAAGAGGAACAACGCAGGGAGGAGGAAGAGGAACAGCGTCTGGCCAAAGAGGAGGTGACCAGACTGTGCCTCAGTCAGAGCTTGTCACTGTAGATATTTAGATGACTGCAGGAGGAAGAGTCTTATTTTTAGGAAAATGCAACATAAGGTTCTTAATGGCTGCTAAACTAGTAGAAAAGGTGTTTGAGCCACAGTGGTGACCTGTTACAGATAGAAACACTGCTCGCTTTGAAGCCTTTGTAGCTCATAGATTTTCTTTATGAAAGATTAGTGTATATAGACTCATGGTGAAGGAAGTGGAACATGTAGCGACTGAAGAGTCAGGAGCAGAAAGAAGAGATGGACTAACATTCATCAGGTGGACAGACGCAGCCGCAAATGGATGATAATCGGCTGCATGTGGAAATAGGCGACATCAGGCCAAAAAAGGTTCAGAGAGTGGTGCAGTGTGCACACAGAATATGAGGAAGCTTTTCCCTTAGCACCGAGCTAATTAGACCCATGTAGTTGATGTAGTTGATGTAGAAATGTGGAGCTGAACAGTGTTTGTGCCTCCAGGAGGAAAAGAGACGGATGAAGGAGGGCATCGAGAAGAGGAGGATGGAGGCGGCAGAGAGGATGAAGAGCCTGAGTACATCCAGTGCAGAAGGAGATGAGCTGTTCAGTCCCAGAGCTCCCACACACAAGGTACATAACAGCTGAGCTGTCTTCCAGTCTTATTTCACAACACGGTGTTCACACTGTGGGCGACTTCACTCAGGAGTCGCTCTGTTCTGACTTTGTCGGGGGTTGGCAGCTACAGGCAGAAAACTGATTCATGGTGGAGCGGTGTTGGCTGAGGCTGGCGCTGCTTGTTGATCTAGGAAGAACAGGACTGTGAGAAAGTGTATGGTGTAAACACAGATGTTGTCCACAAGTTGTTCTCTGGGATCAACTTCAGCTCAAATTCTGGCTCGTCAGGCAGAATCAGTGACCGTGACTTGAAGGCAAAGAACGTAAGGGGTTGTTGCTCGCAGCGTGAACCCTGGAGGTACAGTATGGAAATGATTGTGGTGGGGAGGGGGGCTGATGAGGGAGTTTAAATACTGCTTTCATGGTGGACTTGTGAAGAGCTGGTGCAACTAAACCCAGAGGAGCTGGAGCTGTGAATGCTACTGGGAACTGATGAGGTTTGGCTGAGCTGCAGCTGACAACTTCTGACAGGAGCTGTCCTTCGACTTAGTGGCCCGTTAGGTTCCCTGGACCTTCACAGCTTACTGATTGACCTGCACAGAACAGGGTAGTAAACCTGTAGATAAACCTAATCACAAATAACTGTGTTATCTCCACAGCCTGGTGTCTCAGTTTCAGCTTGTAAGTTGTGTGTTTGTGTGTCTCTGAAAGCCAGTGTGACCTTGCTGCACCACAAACAGCATGTTGTGTTATCAGAGCTCACTGATACCGAGATGTGTCTGTGTGAGGATCCACCAAACACTGTCGTGCTGTGCAGCAGGTGTCTGCATTACATTCATTTGGCAGACAAAAGATTTGAGCCCCTGCTGTCCACTTGGGGGCTCCGGGGGCTTCAGAGCTGGATGTGCATGACACTGCATGTGTGCAGAACTGTAGTGTGGATCCAGGAAGAACTGAGAAAATCCTCCAAGTTCTGATTCAGTGATCCACACTACAAATGTCTGAAAAATGAACGTGTGTGTGCAACAGCACAGACGTGGCATGTTTGATGCATGTGTACTGCATGTTACACATCCAGATAATGTTTAAACTCTCAGCTGCAATGATCCAGAGCTGTCTGTCAAAATATACCCAACGCGGTTTTACACAAACCTGTTGTCAGAACTTCACTGGACAAACGGTTTTCTAGTCAAAGCATCAAAGCACAGAAAGGTCATAGTGAAGCCGTCATTATAGATTTAATTAACATTTTCACATCAGAGTGTGAAACTGTGTGATAATAAAATTAATGTAATGTGTCAAGTGAACTACAGCTTATTCATTCAACTCATTTCTAGTCAGAACAGCCCTGGTCTGCAGAGTGAGCGGCGTAGCTGCTCCGATGACCTGTGCGCCGCGGTGAAGGCCAGTAGATTCGGCTGTGTTTGTTTTGGACAGAGGTGTCGATCCACGGCCAAACGCAGAGCTGAGCTCTAATTATCACACTTCTGAACTGAGGCGGTGACGTGGGGGGAAACTTCCTGTGTTCCTGAATAAAATGACTTCAGACCTCTGCTGCTTTTTTCAGATCTCGGAGAGTCAGCTAACAGTGGTCGTCAGTCTGCCAGAGGGAAACACTCTGGGTGTTTTGTGGATTGTGTTAGAAACATTCACCCCAAAACCTGACATGTTTGGTATCTTTGGAAACTTTGTGATCTCCACCAGAAATTTAAATGAAGTTTTGTACATTTTCTCTAAACGACCTGGCCTGGACTAGAGGGTAAAAAACCTCTTTCAGCAAAGAAATGAAAATTTAAATACTGCAGTTTGTCTGTAGCAGCAGAAGGAAGTGAGTGCAGTGTTGTTGTTGTTGCTGCTGCTTCTGGTCTTTATTATTTATTTAACAGATATCCAGGATATTTACTCCTCCACTGACTCATGTTCATCCAGAGGGTTCAGCGTCTTGTGATCAGACATTGCTTGATGGCATCAATGCAGCTTTAAATAAATGTGGACATAACAACGTGGAATCATTTACAGTAGACATTTACACTTCACTCAGATCAAACTAATGCAGGAATAGTCAGCATTGGGCTCATTTGAAAAGGGAAACAATGTGTTCCAGATTCAATTCCTGTTGAAGAGCCTTATGATGTTGGCGATGAGGACTGGCTCCCAGTTGGTGCTGGAGCTGAGGTCATGGTTCTCCCACAGCAAACTGGAAAAACACTTTAACAGAGCTGGTTTTGTCCATGTAGGCGATATCATATTAAAACAGAGTTGGAAGCATACTGTTTACTCATGAATTGCATGTTCTGCAGTTTGCTGCTTTGCTTAACATGTCCCTGCAGGCAGCCGTGCGCTCCAAACCAAAGACCAAACACTTATCAGAAGTGAAACATCAGTATAGGTCTTCAAACCCACCAGCACGGTTCAGTAGAGCTGCAGCTCTCCTGAGTATTCTCTCTACAAAGTGTCAGAAAACTGAAATGTTGCACGGCAGTGGGATGATGTCTCCAGGTGTCCCATTTGGTCTGACAGTCCACAGAAATCTGCTCATTACAGAGATGCGCAACTGTGAAATGAGCAACTCTGCACATTTGAGGAGCTGGAACCAGACAATCTGAACTGATGATCTGTGGATTAGTCAGTCGACTAATTCGCTGCCATAGTTAGCTGTGTTAACTGTGCCCGGTGAACCCTGAGGGCCCTGCTTGCAGAGCAGTGTTTCTCCTGCAGCAGGTCTGCTGATAAACCTTCCTCTGTCTGGAGGTGAACGCTGATGGAGAGGGTGAGAGGTGACCTCTCCACCTCTGTGTGCTTCACCCTCCTTAGCCATGATGCATGGCCCCACTTAACTCCATCCAGATGCAGGCAGCTGTGTGCACTCTGCTGGCTGGTGAGGGCGGCTCCAGGCAGTCTGTAGCAGTGACGCCTCTGGGTGGATGCCTTTATTTTCTAATAACTGCACCCGGAACAGGGACAATGCTCAGAGGTCTGATGGCAGCTGCACCTCGGACTCCAGACATGTAGGTGCCTCTGTGGACTGAGCTGCAGTACGGGTTTCATTTATGCTTAAAGTGTTTTGTCAGTTATGTTCTGACAGAATCACTGTCTGTGTTTAGAGCCACATGTTTGGATGTGTAGAATTCACATCAGGTCTGTGAACATTGCTTTAGCGTAATGAGAGAAGGTTTAGAGAAAGATGGTGGTTTTGGTTTGATGGGTATATACATTTAACCAAACCCACCATCCTTCCTGAACCTAAGGCACTTCTGTTGCCTAAGCCTGAACATATACAGTACAGTATACTGTGTTGTTTCTTCAGATTTCTTGCTCAGATGGATAGAAACATCACTTGATTGTATTGCTTAAGGTAAAAGTTGAAAATCAGCAGCACACAGGACGTAGTTTGTAAAAATATCTTGATCCAAATGTGATCTCTGGTGTTTCCTAAATCAGTCATGACATCATCAGATGTAAACCTTTAAAAGGTGACATGCTTCAGACACAAGTGAATGAGTCAGATGATGAATGAGGCGTCCTCCCCCGCCGAGGAGTGACATCATCCAGCAGAAGAGCTCGAATTTGGAGCCTGCAATTAAAAACAATGTGAGGGGGGGAGGCTCTGGTGCTGGGGGACGTCAGTGGAGTTTGGACAGCTGGGAGAAAGCATGAAACCCTCCTGGATCAAAAACACTTCAGACAAACCTTTTATTCACCCACAAACCCAGATGTGAGTTGGTGTCGGGTCCCGAGTTGCACACACACCAGTCTGACTTCAAACCTTTTTAGGGTTGGATTGAAGTGGGAAAAAGAGAAAGTGGGAGACAAACATGAAAACAGATGCTTCTCACTCAAATAGATTTTTAATATATTAAACTCTGTTGCTTTGGTGGTGCTTCAAACTGGAGGACCGAAAGTGCCGATTTGGAGTTGCAGACATTTAGAAAGGTAATTAAATCTGCCAATTTAAATCTTTTTGTATTTTAATTAGTAACATTTGAGTTTTTTTCTGCTGAAAGAACCAACTGAAAATTTATAAATGAAAAACTAAAAACAAAATGAAATAAAGGCATTGCAGTTTGTGAGAGCTGAACTTTATTTTCACCCTGCACAAGCTGCCAGGACAAATGTTCATTCCACCCATCAGCTACTGTTTACTGCTTAAATTAATTTAGAAAAGGTTTCTGAAACAAGTCACTTCCTCAGCTAAGAGCAGTATACGTAGAAGTATATTAAAATATTTCATGTTCACAACTTTCACAAAATTTGCTGTTCTATGTTTCGCAGTTCGTGTTGTCATCACAGTAGATGTGTCAAAAACGTCTTGAAAAAGAAATGTTAACTAAAACCAACACAAATGAGGAACAAAAACACCAGCGAAAGAATAATCTGAGGTTCATGATTGATGCATAAAAGGGTTAGATTGTCAACGAGATCCAGACGTTTCCAAAGAGGGGAGTGCATCTAAAATGATGCACATGAAGAATATTTGATGTGTGCACATCACAAAGCTTCACAGGACACGATTCACATTATGCAACATACGGTATGTAGATGATATAAAGGGTTTTATAAGTTCAACATCAGGGTGTTAAACAGTCGCGGTGTGAAGCCGTTACAGTGAAATGTGACTAATCCTGAACGCGTCTCTGCTATTAACTCATATTTTTCCTTGTGTTTTGTTGGAATCAGTAACAGCTTTAAGAAGACGCAGCATCTCGTCCTGCTGTCCAAGATCGACGACAAGCTGGAGCAGTACACGCACGCCGTGGAGGTCCACTTTTTCCACACACACACACGCACACACACACACACAGAGCGAGTGTTTCTTTTGGCATTGTGATGGCGCTCCATATTTGTGCATTAATCTCTTAGATGCAGATTGACGATCTAAACTCTGGTGTGTTCTGCACAGACGTTCTCACTGACACAAAGGGCAAAGAGCGGCTCTGACCGTTCTGTGCTGCAGCATCTGGCCAATGACTTCACAGCTCTATTTTTATTTCTGCGTGTGTCAGACAGGCTATATGACGCGAGGACCCAACATTCAGAGCTCTTTATTTTTGTCGTCCTGTTCCCGAGTGCATGGAGGCAGCCTGAGCTTAACTCCAGGTGCTTTTATTTAGGAAGCACTTAAAAAACAGGTTTAACACAAAGTGCAATAAATGATGGAAATGAAAGGGTTGAAGGTGGAAGAATGTTCTTATCACCTACACAGGAGTCTATATAAACCGGTCATGTGTTGCTGCTTTCATTAATCAGCTTTGTTTAGATGTACAGTAGCACTTCTCACACTATGAAAGTATAGATGTGCCAGGGTGTCAATATTTAAAACACATGTAGTGATCAAAAATCAAAGCTGCGCACTACATGAGTGTTATTAACAAATAAAAAGTTAGTGCAGATCTTCCAACTGACCCAGGCTTGCTCCTGTGCAGAACTCTCAGGAGGCCCGGATGGCGAAAGCATCGCTGAGCGACCTGCCTAGCTCACCTGAGGTCATCGCCTCCAAGAAGAACCTGTTTGAGGCTGGAGAGGCCTGGAGCCAAAGCCCCACAAAGGGAGCCACCTGCAAGGTAAGAAATATTGCTCTGGCCTAGAATCTTGAAAATGACAAACAGCTGGCCTTAATCTCACCAACAGAAATGAGAAATATTTCTTTGCAACTTGTTTCATGACAAATGAGATTAAAACTACATAAGTAACGAGATTTCACAAAATCTTTACATCTTTTGTCAACAAATAAAAGCTAAAGGATAATGTGAAAAACAAACGAATGGACATGAGTAAACGCATCTTAATGCAAAGTCCCACCAGGATCAGTAGAGTCTGATTCTACTGAGTTTGATTTGATTCATGTGGTTCTGAAGTTGTCAGACTCTGACAAGGAGGGAAGTCACAGTGTGAAGTAGCAGGACATGGAAGTACTCAAAGTACCAATACATTAAGACTGTACTAAAGTCCAGTTTGGTTACTTCCCACCAGAGGAAACCAGATGTTCACAGGCTGATGGTTCCAAGAACACCCCGCCTGTTTGTCCGCTACATCAACTGCAATACCAGTGTAATCACATTATGAAATGTCTTTGTTGGTTCTGAACTAGGACACTGAGGGTCTGAAGGTGGGGGTGGCCGGCCTGATCACTCAGTGGGTGAAGGGCCCTTGTGATGGCAGCAGCGCGTCGCCCTGCAGACCAGCTGTGAGTCACAAACACACCCCGTCTAACTCTGCTCCCTCAGCACCGACACGTCACTCCCTCTCCTTGTGTCATGTTGTTAAAGCTCCTCTTCAGTCCTTCACCCTCTGTGGCTTCATTTGTTCAGTTTCTGAGCCAGAAAATAGACATTAATGCCAAAACAAGAACAAATCAAGGTTTGTTTGGTGTCACAGACTGGGTGAATGCTACTATTCCCTTATCCATAAATGATCCAAATGTTTGAGTCTCCAGGTAAATCTGACTCTGAGAGTGATGTGTTCAGGTGCAGGGTGGAGAGTTTGAAATGTCAGGTTCCCCTCATGTGGAGGATCAAGGTACAACTGTAAGCACAGCATCTTCCTCTGCTGCACCTGAAGGATTTCTCTTCATTTTTTGTTGGGAATTATCTCATTCATGAGTTCACTAAGCTGAAAAGCAAACTTCTTTTTAGTTTTTCAAATAAATAAAGAAAATATTGAGAAACCACTGGGTTAATGAAACTAACATATGTGCAGTGAATGAGATCATTAGACTTTTTAAAGGAAGGTTATGTTGTTCTGTCCATGAGGCTCAATTAAACATCTCTGTATAACATGGTACAGTTAGTCAGAGGTGGAAACGTACATTAAAGTACATTTATTCAAACTGGACTCAAGTACAAGACAAACCTTGTATTCTTTACTGCACTACATGTATTTGATAACTTTAGTTCCTTTCATTGATGTTGAACACAACCTGAAACACACTTGAAGCTGCAGATGGTGAGAAAACCTGTTGAATCACAGGGCGGCTTGTTTCACTCCCTCATGTTGTCTTTCATTTCTGAGATACTATGATGCACATTACTGTTGTCTGTTTGCAACAAGGCCATTTCACTGATGTACAGTTAAAACACTTCCATGTAGATCCTCTGTCTGTTGTCAGGTTTGGTGACATCTTGTGGTGATCAGTGGTCACATGTTTTCATAAGCAGCTAATGAAAGTTATATTCATTTGTAAGCTTTTACAGATAAAGGTGTAGCTGATAAACTCAGAATATCAACCTGCCTGTACTGATTATTGACTGATTTGTCAGGATGTGAAAGCTGGAGACGTGATGCAGAAGAAGAACATGTGGGAAATCATCGGAGACTCATCAGGGAGGCCGGGACAAAGAGCCACAAAGGTGAGCACGCACACCAGGTTTGAGCTAAGAACAACTCTTTGTACTCATTGTATTCAGTCCTTTCTTTAGCATTACTTTTATCACATGCATTTAGATGTGAATCGTATATTATGAGTCAAATTTGACCACAAAATATCTGAAGAGTCACAAAGTACTACATGCGACACGGTTACAAACAGGAGCCACAGATGTCTGCAAGTACTGAAAAAAGGGCCCCTACTGGTTTGTTTAGTCATTTTGTCTCTTTCAGTCTCTTGTTGTAGAGGGGCTGGGGGCCTCTGGGGCCCACAGTTGTTAGGTTTGCTCGCACACGGGAAGTGAATGAGCAAAAAGAATGGCAGACCCAGGTAGCTGACTTCAGTGCAAGCAGTGATTTATTTATGTACAGTGCAGTGAAATGGCAAGAAACAGGCAGGTGTAGATGAACCGAGTAAACCGGGTGTCGATCAGCAGCAGCAACAGTAGAGTGATGAGATAAATGGGGTAGGCCGAGCTGCGTCGCTGGGGTCACTCCTGAGCTGTTCGGTGGGAAACTGAGGTTATTGAGGAGACAAGACAGGAGTTTGTACAGATGGTAACTGGTGACTGTGCATTGACCTGTCTGTTGAAGACTGGAAGGGTTGAGTGGAGCCAAGGTCCAGAGGTAGCAGTCCGTGGAGGAAGGGAACAGCCTGGGAGAGGAGTGGCAGCGGGGAGTCCAGGGTGAGTAACGACAGGAGAATAAGTACTGGATAAGACAAAACACAATATACTATGGTGAGGGCCTGAGAACGAGATCGAACTGGCAAGGGAGTGATAGGTGAGCAGGGTATAAATAAGGGCAGAACTAATGAGGTGCAGCTGGTGACAATCAAGGGATGTGGATCAGGTGTGCCAGGTGGTGTAATCAGGGGCCAAAGATGAGAAACAACAGTGAGGGAGGGGAGAGAGGCTGGTGCAGCTGGGCAAACCTGAAACAATCAACCTAAGTCTCCTAATGTGTCCATGCTCTCAGCCCAGTTTGGATCAATGTGTTTATTGTCAACTGTTGAAGCTTTGGTTTATTTAGATGTTTTGACTGGATGGTTTTTCTTTGTGAAGCATTGTTTTGACGTAAGGAACGGGACGATTTGTCTCCCTGCGTGTTCTTATTAGATTATAATACAAGATGGAAGCAGTCAGTGCACCCTGACCATCAGTGAGCAAACTGAACATTGTGTTTTCTCTCTTCAGAACACAGCAGCTGGTAAAAAGTACAAATTTGTCATCACTGGTCACGGGAAATACGAGAAGGTTGCCGTGGACGACGAGAATGGTGAGAACGTCTGAGGAAGCCGCTGCTGTGGAGCTTTGTCTTTGTCTCAGAATATTAGATGAGTCTATGAAATCATGTGCAGTTAAATACAACACTTTAATTGAGACTTGACATTAAAATGAACACTAAAGTGTACTCATGGGGTTCAGTGAGGAAGCTTCTGCAGTTCTAATCATCCTGCTTCCATTTTAAACTACAGGTGTAATACACTCTTTATAATTTCATAAGAAATAATGGCTGTAAATTCAAGTAAAAACAGTAGAAAATGACATTTGGTAAAGCATTTAATTTGTGTAAATACCTCATAACTGACCACCTGAGTGTGAGAGCACTGTTTTATTTTTTTCTGTACTTAGCCTTTCACACTAAATACAAAGCTAACATTTTTTTTTATGTTAACTCAAAACATTTTCCATTTCCTGCCTCTAACATGAACATACTGAAGCTCATCACTGTGAAACTGTGTGAATCCACTCTCTCTGTATCCAGTCAAGAAGAAACAGTTGTCCTTAGCAGCTTTTCCACATGGAGCGCACACATAGGAAGGACACAGCCACCTAATGAGCACTGTTCAGGTGCAGTCAAATGGACAAGAAAAGAAATTGTCTTCTAGCTGCAGCTTGGTGGTTCATCACAGCTTCACAAGAAACAAACTCAACATGAAATTTAATTTGAAAGTGTCAACAGGGCCTCGTTTCCTCAGATGAATCACAGAAAATACACCCACTAAGCTTTACATGTTTAAAACTGACTCTAGTTTAATCAGCACACACAATAGAAACCATTAGAAATAACATTAGAAAATACTCTGGTGTCACTCGGCAGATTTGAGAATAAAAGAAAAAAATAGTCTGCGTCAGTCTTCGACCCCACAGTTCACTTTGCACTGATCTCCAAGATGGCGGAGGCTGAGCTCCATCCATCCTCTTCTCTGTCTACTTTCACAAGCTCTTAGCTCACCGAGGTGATGAAACTTTGCGTCGCATTCAGATTTTGCAGGTGACACAGTCTAGAGCTGAACATGTTGCCTGTACTCATGCACTTGCGTGGACCATGCTAGAGCCCAATACAGTCGTAGTTCTATGCATACAGTAAGACAAAAAACTTAACTTACTCTGTAAAAATGAATTTTGGATTGCATCCATGTGTGTGAGGTGTGAGTTGTCACACACTTAGTTAATTCGCATTCAGCTGTTGGTCGTCATCAGATCCTTTTGTTTTCATTGTGATATGCTTTTAAATTACTATTGTAATCTAATCTTTAGCATTATTAATGTTTACTCTGTTTTACTGTAGCTCTGTTTAGAACAGTGCTGTATAAACAAAGTTATTCTCAGCGGCTCATAAGCCATGACTAAAAACTGCAGCTGAAGCTTTATTTTTATTTCTTTTCATCTCTTTTCTCTTATTACATTTGAACCAGTTGCAGAGGAGACACCTCCTCCAGGAACAAGGTTTTAATTAAGGTTTTCACAAAGGATGTGATATTCGCTTTATGTTTCATTGTGACTTTAAGAAAGTTCCTTCACACGCCATCACCCTCCACAGCCTAAAACGCGGTTCAGTCTCTTGCTCTACATACACATCCATTAACCAGCAGAGGTCTCAGCCTGAGGCAGGTAGCACCATTTTGAATAACACTAGATATCTGAATGATCCTTAAAGAGAAACAGAAGTTTACTCTCACATATTGTCTTAAAATCATTTTTATATATAGTCAACAAAATCTGATATTTTAATGAAATATTCTTAACAAGAAACTTTTCAGTATAATTTTCTAAATTTCACTTGAGCTACTGAAAATAAATGATCACAGTCTCACAGACAACCAGAGATTCACATCTATAAGTTAATCTATGTTAATGGTGAACGTGTGATGAAGCGAACAAAGGAGAAGCTCTGTAATTACTTAAAACATAAAGGCTTTAATTTGGTGCGACGTCTGAATGACTTTAAGACAGATGTGTCTCTCTCCTTCCAGCTAATCCACAAACATAACGTCCAGTCACACAGCATTTGTCAGGTTCAAAGTTCAGGTTTGGTTTTCTACACTGCTCCAAAAGATAGTCGTCTACCACAGAGAGACTCGGACATGTACATCACTTTTGTTGCTAAGATTCCTAAACACAACTCGGAAGCACCTGGTGGGATACGCAGCTTAAGTAGCAGTGAAGCCTTTCGCTGTTCGATTAAAGTCCTTTGGTTCCTCTTCTTTATCTTTGCGCCCAATCAGACCCATTTCAAACACAGTTGAGATTTTTGGCACCGGCCTTGACGCTGCCGCTTTCAGCTTTTTAGCATTAAACCTTGGACTAAAAAGCAGCAGAGGCAGCCGGTATACGAATGAAGGGATCTCTTTCACATCCTTTATCTCTGCCTTTTTCTCCTTCTCACTTTGGTTTAACTCGATTTGATGTATGATGTTCTCTTTAGTGGAGAACATTTGGAAGAGGACAGCGTCCCACATCTTTGTTGCCTTGGCGTTGTCTTTGGTCTGGTTCTCATCCTGAGCGCCGGCCTTCTCGGCAGTGCTCTGGTCCTGCCCTCGGGCCTCCTTCTCAGAGCCATTCATTGGAAATCTGGGCTCGTCCTGCTCCTCCACCATGTGCTTCTTGAGTCGGGACCAACCGCTCACTTTAGCTTTAATTCCCTTTGGCTTCTGCAGGGCTTTAAGAAGGGGCTCAGCGCCTTGGAGGGACTTGTCACCTACTTCTTGATCTGCTTTCCTGTCTTTTCCTTTGTCTTCTGCAGAGCTTGGCTTTGCGCCTTCAGCTCCAGGTTTCACTGGCTCTTTTTGTTTTGAGGCCTCAGCATTCTGCTCAACAGTCTGGACCGTACTTTTGCCTAAAAGTCTTCTTACTGCCTTCAGAGGATCCTGGTCTGGACTTTTAGGCAGTTTGGCTCCAGGAGTTTTTGTCTGTGGTTTGATGATTTCTTGAACTGGTGTTTCCACCTTTTGATGTGTCACCTCTGCTGTTGGAGGTTTAGCCTTTGGTGTTTCTTGAATCACCATTGTTTCCTGCTTTGCCATGACCTGGCTAGGTGCCCTACTTGCCTCTTGTGCTAATGTTGATCGTAAAGTGTCCGATGCTTGTGAAACAACAATAATAGGAACTGAGGCAGTGGCGGAAGCCTTCTCATCTCTCAGATTTTTGGGGGTTTCTGCTGTCACAGATGGTTCTCGGCTAGGTGCTTCATAGTCTGCTAATTCCTCTTGTTTGACTGTGACCTCTTCTTGAGTTGTTGTCATAGAGCTCGAGATACCAAACGCTGGGGAGTAAGTTCTGATTCCACCATAAGCAGCATATTCAGCCGGCATAAGTCCACGATAGGTAGACTTTGTCTTCTGAGCCACTAGGGTGGGGGTTATAGGCCTTTGAAAGGCTACAGGTGATACACCAGTAGGTGTCTTTGGTCTTGTATAGTGAGGTGATGCGGACATAAGTCGGGATGCCTCGTATGTTGGAGTCTTAGGCCTCTGAAAGCCATAAGACGTCACTGCTCCCTCCACTATGGGTGTTTGAGGGTCAGCTGGGGCAGGTGGGATCTTTTCTCTTGTCAGATCTGATTCAGATTTTGACGTTGCCATCCCTGGTTGGATTGGTTTAGCTGAAGGTGTCATATCTAAATGGATGTCCCCATTCAGTATTGTTTCAGTAGGTTTAGGCTCAGCAGTCACCATGCTTTCGGAAGTAGCCAAACTGCTCACAGCAGAAACCGTTTGAGGTGTTTTTGACTTCTCTGGTTCTACTGTGATTGGTGACACTGCAAACAAGAGAGGATTGGGTCTTGAGATTTCGAAAACTGGTGTTTTAACCCGGGGCACATGGTACACTGGGGTTTTAGGCCGTCCTACTGAAATTCTTGATGTTTGGAGCTCAGAAGTTGGTGTTTTTACTCTGATTTCAGACGTTGGAGTGGCTCTTTTGATTTCAGATGTTGGGGTCGTGCTTTTGCTTTCAGGTGTTTGAGTTATGATTGTACTAATCTCTGCTCTTTTAATTTCTGAAGTTGGTGTTTTTCTCTGGATGTCTGTGCCTAGTAAAGGAGGCTGGGCCATTGGTTTTATACCTCTTCTCACCTCAGACTCTGGAGTCAAACCTTGTTTTGTTTCTACAGGTATTTTAATTTGAGGTACTGTGCTGCCAACAGAGGTTAATGCCGTTGTGTCATACACTGGTGGAGTCCTGGATGTCTCGTAGTATGATGTGGTTGCTGTGTACATGCTAATTTGAGGAACATCAAACATTGTTTTGGGTGATCTTGAAGGTTCAGTTGCTTTGAATGTTGGTCGTGGACTTTTAGGTTTCACAAGTGGGGTCAACACAGTGAGAGGTACAATCACAGCTCGACCTCCTGCCAATGGATATGGAGTCAGACCCAGACTTGTAGGTTTTGGTTGTGGGGTTGTTACAGGTGCATCAGGTCTCAGGCCAGTGTGAGTTTCAGCTGACAGAGAAATTTTGGGTGCCACTTGCTGGGCGACTGGGCCCGGGGCAGGCGAGGCTCCAGTATGGTGGGCCAATGCAGAATATGAAGAAACTGTGGTGACCTGCTGTGAGTAAGAGTACGACGGGATCTCCACAGCCTGAGGCGAGAACCTAGCTGCTTTGCCATAAGCTGCACGTTGTGGGTACGGGGATGCCACATGTTGATACAGAGGCCTGATGGAGATCCGTTGCGGCTGGTGGATGCTGTAGAAGCTGGAAGGCGTCTCTGGAGTCTTGGGAGGGGTGGAGTGGTCACTGTGCTCCAGGTCAGGGCTTGCTTCATTCACAGGGGAAAGGCTGGAACGGAAAGGTGCAGCAGACTGCGACGTCTGAGCAGAGGCCTTTCTCTTGGCAGTTTTCTTGATGATCTTCCGAAGCCGAATATTGTCCTTTCCAGGCTTGGGCATCAGCGGTGGAGCTGACTGCTGGAGAAAGAAGCCAGGCTGGGTGATGGCAGTGTAAGAGAAAGCCATGAGCGCTTCAGCACCCTGGGGACAAAAAAGCCAAAACTATTAGAAAAGGGAGATTCATAACAAGACAAAGCATTTACGTGTATAGTTCAGGCCACATTCTGACTTAACGAGACTAAACTGTGGACATAATTTTTGATTCCAAGATTCTGCACATGTATAATAACCTTTTGTACATTTTCTTGGCACCTCACGTTAGAGATGAAGCAGCAGTTCTACTTCCTTAAATAATTTAAATTGATCAAGCTAATTGTGAGCATTTGGTCTGGTGGGAAATTAGTCATTTTTTAATTGGTTTATATTTTTCTATTTTCAAAATTTAAGATGTAATTTCTCTTAATCCTGATTCACATTAAAGATGACGGTGTTCACCTAGTACTGACTTCATCCTGAAAAAAACAGGCAAAAACAAAGGTTCCAACAAATAATCATCAGTTTTTTTAATCCTGCCTCCTCTTAAATCAAGCTGTTCATTATTAACTTATGTTCTATAGGTCTATAACAAAGGCCCCTTAATTTTCTTTTGTTGTCCTTGCAGGTGTGTATCGCTATGATTGCTGAGCTGGTGCTATCTCTTCAAATGGTTTTCATCTTTTAGAAACTTCCGCTGGCTGAAAGAAGAAGCTCTATAACATTTGCAGGCTCAGTATTTCATTTATATCCAAAACATCATTTTTTTCTGACTTTCTCAGTCAGACATGTACAAACTCCAGAGCTCAAATCCCAAATCTGTTTCCTCTTGGTTTTTATATTTCCTGACATTCTGTTCCTGTTATTTTGTACACATGTGGCTGTGAGCTTTACCCTCTGCTTCCTTCTCCACTACAGTGTTTAGGTGAATCA